TACATACATACATACATACATACATACATACATACATACATACATACGTACATACATACATACATACATACATACATACATACAAACATACATTTATATATATAGAAAGCAACTTAGGGCACCGTTACTCAATGATCCATCTGAAGCATAGATCACGTATGAAACCCGTTATATGCGTCTATTCGATCTTATCCATATTTTATGACCACCACATAATATATTGACCTTGTTTTTATTAATGAATGTCGTCGGACAGACAGTGTGATATTGCAATTTTTTCAAAACATAGGTATATACGTACATATCTTTAAAATATACACTATTTGATATCATTTGGACGACGATATTTAAACGTACAGCAAGTATGATATCAATTATCACTTATCAGTTATCAATGATTATTTATACCAATAAAACATGTTATGTATTGGTTAAATATATATACAATTTTACATGAAGCTTTTATGCTAATGTTATGATTACTACGTTTTTTAATGAAAAACTCAGTTTTGTTATCATGAAAGGTACATTAAATTGTATTATATAAATATTATTTTATTTAAGCATTTTTCTTTTTTTTTTAAAAAAGAAGAAGAAAGTTATTTGAAAATTGTAATATATTTTAGAAAAATCCTAGGCACCCAAATATAAATAAAAAAATCTTTTGTTTTTTTTTTTTTACTTTGAAGCCTTAAAAAAATTAGGGTTAACAACTGAAACTAAAAAAAAAAAACTAAATACACTAAATAAAGCTTGTATTTCATTTATGACAAAAACTATATTTTTTTGTTCAATGGTTCAAATTCTATGTTTGATATGGGTTTATTCTTGTATTTGAATTTTAAACAAATTTAAAAACCATCTTCGAATAAAATCAACATAATAATATTTTTGTTGCAATACAGTTAAATTTGTTTACATTACACCTATAAATTAGGATCTTGAAAATAATATAAACAAAATATTTGGAATTTTAAAAATATATGCCGCTATATAAGTATTTATATTTCATATCTATAAATTCGTTTAACCCTTTATGTTACTTTAAAAAAAGGGTTTTGCCGGTTTTGGCACCGTAATCAATTCAATTTCATCGGTAATGTAAATATTTGATTAAAATTTGAAATTATCTCCAGGTTAAGTGTACACGATTTTGTAACACTATATTAAAACATCGTGGTATATTATTTGGAACTTTTGTACGCATTGTATGTAGTATTAATAGATTGTAAGTTCAGTGAATAGTATTAATTTAATTTTCAATACTACCATATTAATTCTTACCTATCCTAACTTTGGTACAAGGTAGAAAATATATTTTATAAAAGAGACGATTTCTGTAAAAAATGTGATTAGTAATTTATTGAGTACTGACATTTTTTTACACAAATTGTATAGTAATTGTATAATTCGCAAATCCTTAATCAGATGATTATAACTTACTCATATGTGATATGTATTATAATATAATACAAGTTATAATATTTCGGTAGTTAACGATTTCGCTTTTTAACAAAGTATGTACATTTTTCAAAAAGACAGTTCGTGATACAAACTAGTACATTTTGCACATATTTTGATGATATAATACACAGTAAGCTATAGTATAATAAGTAGAGAAAGAATAAGATGAACGATTATTTTAGTGCCTACGGATGACACAAAGCGGACGATTTCCAAACGGTGAGAACGATTCATGAGTACCAAGTAGTGAAGATACGAAAACGCGTATAGGATTAGTGCAGTACAACACCGGACAGCAACATACGTAATACACATTAATAAAGAAATAAAAAATATTAAAAATATTTAATGATTGAGATTTGGACGTTTGAGCAATCGTGAGTCTGAGTACGTTATTCAAGGTAGTTGTTTAATTAAGGCAAATAAATTCAACAGGCTAAAAGAGTTTAAAACATGTACATTATAGTGTATAGCTTATAATTTTCAATATGTCTATCGTTTACATACACATGATTACAAATTGATTCGCTTAATATTTTTATTTTTTTTCCTTCAAAAATAATTTTTATCTTACACTCAAGTTACCTAAAGAAATTGAAAAGTAAAAATAACACCCGCGCTCAAACGGACAACGCCCAAAATTTCTTATTATTTAAATCAAAAAAAGTTTGCTGTAAAGAAAAAAATCCGATCATATGATAGGTATATTGATTTAATATATACATATTATAATAATAAAAAAACTATGTAGTATTGATCAATGTACATCACAGTTACCGCGGTTCTGTCCGGTATCATTCTGCTGCGAGACGTATGTTTTAGTAGTATAGGTACCCCCTAATAGGTTGAAAATATTATCATATTTGTTATAATAATTATAAAAAATAAATAAGAAAAAGAATATTATCATTGAATAACGCGCGCGTATTTCCGGTTCAACCGACCTGCTGGAGTCATCGTCGCCGCCAATGCCCATCATTCTTCCGCGTTCGATGATGATACCGACAATGACAGTGATGATGATGATGATGACGACACAAACCGGGCATATCACATGGGCGCGATCGGCCGCAGCCGGAACCGGAAACGACAAGTCGTACACGAATGGCAAAAATAAACTGCGCGGGGTAAGACAAAGGGTCGCGAATAGACACTGACGCGCGTATCCACCGACACTGGCGACGAAACGGATCGGAACGCAACGTTTGTGGACCACGGGACGTTGTACGCACACCAACGATGCCGAAAGACGACTGTCCGGTGCACGGCAGAGCTTGTTGCTACGTTCGCCACACGATTTCGTGTACACACGCCGCGCCGATGTCGCGCGACCGCCGGAGCACGTGTCCCGCCGACGCCGCCGACGACGCGTTCACGAACGCCGACGAAACGGTTACCAAGAACTTGTGAACATAATATACCGAACCCGAAGTTTCGCAATATTGTAATTGTAATCTTCAGCCTATTTTTTTCTTCTTTTCTTTAACTCTATTGTCTTGCCGCAAATCCAACGTGGCACGACGTTTGGTGTTTTCGCAAACCAAATTAATACACCGCACCCCGGACCATCCCTCCCGCTGGAAACGTATAATATACTTGCCCTGTGCATCGCCATTTAATAGTATCGTAAAAACCATAATATTAACATTATTATTATTAACGTTATTGTAATATATAAATATACACATTACAGTTGGTACACCTATAACTACCTAAGTATACGGTTTATTATTTCGGTTTCGTAGCCGGTTTTTTTTCTTCATCGTTCACGGTAATGGATTTAATTTTGCCGACATCATATTATTATTTTCTTCGAAAACGTCAAAATCATTTTTGCTTTTCCCCAAAAATACGTCGAAAACACGCCGAATGAAATAATTATAATATAATACGTTATGTAACGTATAAATACTAAATATAATTAATGTATTTGCTGATGTATTCTCGAATAAAACTAATCAGCGACACGAATTAGGTTGGTACAGAGTGATATATTATTATTATTATTATAACCTTGTGTGCTATGAGTTTATAAATGTTCATAATATCGTGTTTTCATGATTCGTTTTTTATTTTGATGATTGAGATTTAGACTAATGGTTTGCAAGTTTGTTGATTTAACAAAGTTAACTTCTGATGTGCTGATAATAAGCAAAATATTGAAGAGTTATATATTATATTTTAGCGAATTTCTTACAAAATAATTAATCTAGTCATATTTTATGGAAACAAATATTACCTACTGCAATATTGTTTGTATGTAACGATATAACGTTCAATTTCCAATATTTAAAAATAATTATAATAAACCTTTCATTAGTACATACGTATAACATTACAATAATCCAAACATTTATCAATGTAAATGTTGAATGAATGTATACTTTATTTTAGATTTTTAAAAAAAAGTGATAACCATTAGGGTTGTAAGTATAGGGGTATGTAGCCATTACTTCCTTCACAATACACAATACTCGATACAAAAATTTTCAATTACATTGTACAAATTCTTATAACCGTAAAATGTATCCGTTGTTTGACAATATTTCAATGTTAAATCGATAAACTGCTTATGTAAATTGATTCTCAAGCTATCAGTAGGTACTAAAATTACCAAATACAGACACTAAAAAATGATCAAAACCAAAAAAAATAATAATTTACCACGTATCTGAAACAATTAATAAAGAGTATTTTTAACTGATATACTTACACTATGTACCTATACGGACCTACCTTTTAAACTCTTATCATTACTTATTTTATAAAAAATTAATTTATTTATAAAATTAATATTATTATTCTGTACACAATACGAAATGTTTTGTTTATCACTCATGATTTATATCATTTACCTATTATGTACATAATATTATCAAACATGTTTTACGAGTAAAATATTACTTATAAATTCACTAATATACTCGTATTGCTTTATTTGATTATAAATATATAATAAATAAAATGTATACATCACGTATTCACGTATCAAAATGTGTCAGTGATCAGTGTGTTTTATTTTGATTTACGCCATTAGGGCGTGTTGAAAAGCAAAACTTGCTAACACAGTAAATATATAGGCAATGCTTAATTCATTTATTAGTAAAATTATCATAATATAACAATATTGTCTACTTAGTAGTTCCATCTACGTTGTACTCAATCAAATGATGAATACGAAATTTGTTTGACCATTTAATACCCAATACACAATTTTTCATTTATTTTGTTAACTATAAGTAATCAAATAAACTATTAATTGAAGCATTTATACGGTAATATTCTTCATCATAGTATTACTAACAATTGACCTTGTTTTATTACCCTAAAGTCCTAATAAATTAGAAGAAAGTTAAATATTTTAATTTTTGTTTCCATAATACTTAAGTATTATTATACATAACTTATACATAATACAAAAAACTATTAAACTTCAGGACAACTGGATTAGGATTCATACGTAGATTAGGATGGAAATGTTAGTTAAAAAATTATTCAAAGAAATTATAATTACTTGTTCATATTGTATCAAACCATTATTTTAAATTGAGAATAAAACAATATTTTACCGACATTTTACAAATCCTATATGAACTCCTGAACATCAGTATACACATGTAGCATATACTTTTATATATATATCATAAAATGTTCTATATTCACAGTAAATTTTCAAGTTTCTATCTGTTTATTTTTAATTTTTTTTTTTTTAATGACTTATTGTTTGTCTTTTCAAACGCATGTTACATATTTTTATAGTAAAATGTAGATTAACTAACATATTATACATTTACATGCATACTTAATTCCATAATTGATCATTTGGAATTAAAATAGCTCAACATTCCGAGTGTACTAATAGATCGTATTTATTTTTCTATATTATGTTATAGCCTTACAAATAATATTAGTTTTTGCTGACTCGTTTTTGGCTAGCGTCGAGTACCTAATTAGTAATGAATTACTATGTAGTCATCATCTGATGACTCGTAGATAACTAGATAATATTGTATTTTACTATTTATACTTCACTGCTATAGTTTAAAGTGGGAACGTTAAATACACAAATTAGTGAAAAAATAATCCAAACGTCATTTTCAATTAATTTCAGTTCTGACAGTATCTACTAAGCTGATCGCTGATTCATTCCAACCGATAAATCATTATAATTTTTAAATAATAAGATGTATACGTAGTTGATTTGAACACACGCTGACGAAAAATACGGAAATTAAAACGTGTAGCATAATATATATTATTCTTAATTTGAATATACATAGTTTACGTATATAAGTATAAATATGAATAAAAATAAAAGCATTTAGATATTGAAGCATGCAGCTCGTCATCAGTCCCTTTAATCAAAATATTGAAAATCCCATATACCTTCATTGATACCAAAATATAATATTATGATATTGCCATTGAAAATATAGTCAAATTTAGGCAGTGTGATTTAATCATAAAACATATAAAAGTTAATAAATATTTGGTTAAATTAAAATAATTTGAATTATAAATGCATAGAATGCTAGTGACTTAAACATTAAAAGCTTTATTTCTAATAAAAATAAATAAGCCGCAGAAAATATATATTTAGGCGGATGTCTGCCACATTTAATCAAGATATTTAGTTACCTACATCTTGTATCACGTGTAGTAGATTCAGAAATCAATCGACGACGGCCGTCTATCCTTAGATAAGGTTGGTTTGGTTTTTCACCAGTGGAAAGTTTTTAGAAATCATAAAGAAAACTATTTATTTTTTTTTTATCAATTTATTTATTGTTCTCACAGTAATATTCTGATAATTTATACACGGCACCAGAATTCATTGACTATAGAAATATGATGGTAATTTTTAAAACAATAGTCGCGATAAAAAAGTAATTTTTAAATGCATTTAATACAAAACACATTTTATAGCATTGCGACAAAGGTAACTGAGGAATCTCGTATGGTATTCGAATATCGTATTGTGAGTACAAGTTCCACGTGTCGGTGTACGCATGATTTTTCACAGCACGTTTCAGAATTCAAGGTAAAAATATAAAAATAATTGTTTTCGAAAGTTAATAAACATTATTACTTATCGCTTAGAAAAATAATGCGTATTATATAAAATCGCAGAAACATCGATCTAATATATTTTATCAATGTGATTACTTCATCTGATTCCGTGATAAATATGCCACTGCAATGGTGCTATCTACAACATATGTTTAAAATAGTTAGATAATATAATAATTTGGTAATTGACATAAGCGCTGAAACGAAATCAAATAGATATATCATGTAAAAACACATTTTATTTAGAACTGTAGAAATCGTTCAAAAGTGCTGAACGTCCAATCTCAATCAAAAAATATGTTACGATCAAAGAATATTAATATAAGTTTATATTATTTATAATTTTAAACAATAATAGCTACTTATGATTTATAGTGTTTATTTAGATGTTTCAATAGTACATTATTAATCTGATAAATAAATGTAATTTTCTTTAAAATGAAGATTTAATATATCAAAATAAAACATACATATTTTTAAAACTAAATAAAAGTTTGATCGATCATCGTAATTCAATGATTATAAATATATTTTTTGATTAAATTATAAAAGTTTTTCCTCCGCTCATTTAAATAATTGTAATTTTATGATAAAATATCAAAAATTCAATACACATATTTTTTTTTTTTTTTTAAACACATGTCCAGCTCATATAAATTATAAAAGTGTAAAATTTAATTATATATTTCAAGCTTTCGCCTTTGGGTTTACATCACTATAATTGATTCGGAATAATAACTAATTTATTGTTTTATTTTATTTTCAAAACGTTAATGGTCTTACTGTTTTAAAACACTAAGTTGCTTTATTTAGACTTAAAAATAAGTTTCAATTCAAATATTTAATAATATCTTATGATTATTTCGCTTGCGGCTCAAAACGTTCTTCTTCTTCTTCTTCTTATTATTATTATTATTATTATTATTGTTAGCATATTAAGCCTTATGGCAATCAGTCAAAACAGTTTAAAACGTAATAAGTAATAACTATAATATAATAAAATAAGAGTTTCGATTTTATCTTGTGAAATTTTTAAATACCTATAGATATAAACACAAAATGTTAAATTCTCACTACTCTAGACAGTATTATGGAGGTTCTATGCAAATTTTTCTCGAACTGAGTTGGATAAAAAATCAACACAATTCGATGTTAATTTTTATAATTTA